TTTGAACGCTCACAACTTTTTTGGTAGACTCATTTAGCAGTTTTAATTTCCATATTTGTTAATAGCTTTCGAAGCCCTATCGATATACCTAGGTCTCTACTCAAAGTTCCATGGGAAGTTGAAACCCTTCCCTGGTTAGGCGCAGTTACCGTAACCTTCATTGGAAAGGCAAATATTCTCCTTTACAGTGGCACGACTGCAAACGATCGACTGTTCGGGTTCGAGATAACACACCCAACGGGCTAATGCAGATCCGAAATTGTAGAGTGTGCGAAGTTAATTCTGTTGTGAAAAATAACGAACGGTGCTGTGGTTACTGTAAGCTGAATGAAATAATCGACAGCAACTACGAGAAATTAGTCTCAAGGTTGCTACCCGCTGTAAGAGTACAATCTCTGTAGTTTGGCGCCTAATTTAGGGCCTAAAATCCTAACGAATACGGCAAGGTTAAAATGTCTATCTACTTACAAGTTACAGCCAAAGTAATTGCACTTTTACAAGCCAATCTAGCCTATTAACCCTATGAACACTACTAAGAATACAGTCTAAATATTCCTAATAAAACTATGAAATCCACTCGACCTCCCCGACGACAGGTTCAAACAATAAGTTGAATTCTCTTGCGATACCCTTATCTATTTACTTCCGTGCACTCCTATCAATTCTCTTATCTTTTTTACGATCCCCTTTTTTCACGGCTTTCTCAAGTGTTCTAGGGCTTTCAATCTTTGCTTTTCTCTAAAGGCTTTTTTACAAATGTGGATATTTCGAATTTACGTTTCATAGTTCGAAAAAACCGGTTATATTGGCATTGAGCAAGCAATCCGGTATAAAAGCTTCCTCACAATAACAAAAATACAGAATGGATCCAAAATTCTACCGTAATCCCATTATTCCTTCATTCTGCAATTAGTCGTGGGATAACCCATTACAGCTGCATCGTACTTGTAGTTATGCCACTTTTCATGGGAAAAACCAGCAGCAGCAACCGCAAGCGGCTGATACGAGCCGGCAAAGCGCGGAAACTTTCGGGTTAATATTCGTTCATTACACGGTTATTTACTTTTCGATCATTTATTAACAAGTAATAACGTGTCACAAAGCCGCTCTGGAGTCGCTGCATCACATGCCGCGCGCGATGTATCCTTGCCGCAAGGACGATTTAACTTGTTAGCTTAGGATTGTTACTGTAGACCTTCTAGAAGCGAGTACTGGAGAACTAAACCATATTTAATTAATGCCATTTAATAACGGAGGATAATTCCCGATAAAGCGCAATGACGCTTTAGAAGGCAACTGGATAGTTGTCGCAGATGACACAATTCTAGATTTGCGTAGGATTTCGCGACCAGTTCTGATTCATTGTGAGCAAACTTCTACCACATTGAATCTAAAGATGTATCATTCGTTTCTATTTACTTGAATTAAATATATTTTCAGTATTAGCACACCACTCATGTCGTTCAGTCGCGGTGCCAACACACTCAAAGTCTCAGCGAAACTATTTGCTGAAAACCGAGCTCGCCTCGTTGCAGCACTCAAGGTCTTTTTACTGGTTTCCTCAGTGTTTCGTTCTTTCGTCTTTTTTCGCGAATTCTTCGTATTGATTCATAGCTACTTCCAAATTGTACAGTTCCATTGGAATTGTATTCTTTTCGTTGAAACTTAATAGCATTTGAAGGCGCGCTGTCTAGTTTTTAAATGAAACTCTTGTGGAGAACTTTTGGAAAATGT